TTGAGGGGGGTGGAGTACTTGAAGATATACAAAATATCAAGGCAGGTACTGCTTTGATTTGGTAGGGCGAATGGTAAGGCCCTACCTCTCATTGGCACGATCCAAGTTCACCATCAGACTCTCCCACTCCTCGAAGTGAACAGCCATTACGAGATCATCACTACCATCATCAGCACACAGATAATCAGTTCTCTCCATGGGTTATGCTCCACGTTAACGTTATTGATACATTACGATTCGTAGATCAAAGTATATTTTAATACAATCAGTCCTCGCTTAGAATACCCCCGTAGAACATTGATTCGTTACAGTGATAGGTGTGGGGCCAAATTTTCTGCACTGACTTCTACCGCCAAGCCTGCTTCCCAATATTTGTGCGTTTCTCCGGTTTCCTCCTACGTGCCGAACCCTGATGCTTGAAATTGTCCAAACATCTTAATGCAGCACGGAGCTAATAAGAGTCTCGAGACTCAATATGGCTCTCCTGGGTACATACAGGATATTTCAAGATTTGATTATATTTATTCATATGATTCAGCCAGCAGCTGCACTGCGATTTGCCAACCTTGCCACTGTGTCATCATGGTGGTGGTAAAACCCATTCGGAAAAATATGTTCAGTACGCGTCGTGATTTTTTATTTTAAAAGTGTTAATCAAACGAGTTCCAGTGACCTCATGGCCGAGTCAGCAGCAATGACTGCTCCAACCCCTACATTAGAAAATTACCTTTTTCGACCCAACATAACCACTCGCTTACCTGTTTGATAGTTTTCTTATTTTTCTACCTGGCCTCGGGAACTTTATAGGGGGCTGTGGAAGGCTGGTTTTCTACTTTGGAGCTTCTTAGGGCGATCCGCAGCCTGCTTAGTTGTAGGGTCCTCAGTAAGCAACTCGAGCCTGACCTCATGGCTAGGCCAAGGGGACTTTCTGCCTGTATCTGTGTCGAGTAAGGTTTGCAGGAGAGTGGAAAATCAGGAGGCAGCCACATATGACCCTTCAGACTATGCTAGACGAGCAGAGCGGTGCAATGAAGATCCACGAAGCCAGGCTGCTGGAACCAGAGGAGGCTTACATCAGACTGGACTCTAAGGGACGGGCATGCCAAGTAAACCATACGGCCTCCCGGAGGGGGTCGAGGGCAACACTCCTCAAGATGCTCTATCCTACATTCGGCTACCTCTGCTCGAACCTCTGGCATTCCTTTCTACAACTGGGCCATCATCACCTACACGAGAGTCGGTGCTGTGCTGTGACCATGGCGTGGCTCCACGCGTGCCTGTCGACGGTCGTCCTCACGACTGCCCGCATCGAACGCGAGCTCAACTCATTCGTATGGCAATGCTTGCTTCCCACGTTTTTCAAAACCAACCTCTCTGGCATAGATGTAGCGTCGTCAATGCACATCGTATACCGTCGGTATATATACTTACCTGTAGTTGTGGGCACAGGGGGTGCCACCCTGAGCTGGGGAAGGACAGAGAAAGCCGGACTATTGAGCGGCCGGGTTCTCCCCCCCAGACCCCAGGTAAGGGGTTGGGGGGTTCTTCCAGAGCCCCCTGGAAGGTTCCAGAGAGGGGGCGGTACCTGGGGTAAAGAGCGCCCGAGAGGTGTATAAAAGGGGCACCTCTGGGACAACTCAGGGCAGTGCTCCGAAGACGAAAAACAGAAGACCAGCCTAGCTCGGACCGACGTCCTTATAAGGGCCGGGGCCGAGCACGGACCAGTGGTCAGGACCCGTACCTTGGCTGGGTCGGGTCAGAGTAGCCTCCCTAGCTAGGACCCTGGGACCTCGAGCCCGACGTCCTTGTCAGGGCCGGGCCGAGCTCGGACCAGTGGTCAGGACCCATACCTTGGCTGGGTCGGGTCAGTTAGCCTCCCCTAGGGCACAGATAGCCGGAGGGCTGAGAGCCAGGTTTGACAAATGCGAGGGCACGCTACCCCAGAGGCTGTACCTCCATAGATAGTGGGAGCTAAGGGGAGTTATGTTCGTAGTTACAAATAAACCGTGTTGTCTCTAAAGACGTCTCCAGTCTATGTGGAACCCACTACATATACATGGATTTTTATATTTTGACCGGTGTGATAAACACGTTGCCTGCGTGTGGCGACGCTGGATGATTTTCCCTCTTCCTCATCCCTTCACAGAATGAACACGGCACTGCGGTCATGAGCATTATTGGGGGGGGGGTGGGGGCGGTGAATAGTTGCACACAGGGCTTGTCCAGGTTCGCTGGCGCACAGCAGAGGCTGGTGAGGCGTCCCGGCCACAACCCGGAGGTGGGGGGGCGTGCCCAGGGCCAGTGAGGTATTCCATGCCACAAATACTTCGGGCAGCAGAGGTGTAGCCATCTTGGTAAAATAAGAGCATTAAATGTTTTTCTTGCGAAAAAAATACAGGGCAGAGCTATCACACGACTGATTGTGTATAACCCACCCCCATCAACACCGCAATTGCGATTTCCCTGATCGAGAAGAGTAGGGGAGGTTATTATGGGAGGGGACTGGAATTTGGTCCTGGACCCTGCTTTTGAAAAATCACATGCAACTACCTCGGATCAAAACGGCACGCAGACTTCTCCTGGCTGAAATTGTCCCAACACCTAAACCCGACGAAAAAGTACATTACCCATATCTCTCAGGTGCACAGGACGCTATCCATAATCGACTTCATTTCTAAGCTCATGAAGGTAAAGATCCTGGACATGCAGCTTTTCGACCGTGCCCCAATAATAATTCGGCACATCTTAAACCCCAATGAGGGAGCGAGTAACTTCTGGTCCCTAAATTTCGATTTAAAGCTTTCGTGACTGCAGGGATTCATCTTCTTGGTTTTTTCGGTAAAGTCACGTAGAAGGGAAGTAATAAAATAATAAAAATGTTATTTTTATTATTTTATTACTTCCCTTCTACGAAAAAAACCAAGAAGATGATTCTGGTCCCTAGATAGGCAGCTTCTGGATGTGGAATATACGATTGAGATGAGGAAAGAGATAGAGGAATTTATCCGGATTAACTCCGTCGCTGATCTTCCCCCCCACATAATAACATGGGCTGGAGGGGAGCTTAGCTAACCTTCATGAGAAGTTTAAATCCTCGCAATCCTCAGGATTGTTTTACTAAATAGACGGCGTGAAAATGAAACCAGAAAGGCTATTGATTGACCAAGCTAGACAGTTATTCAGGAGAGCCTGGCTGCTCTTCCACCATCTTTCCTCTACTACCGCGAGATTGCTGACAGGGATGATTAAATCCTGTCGGCATCGTTACTTCATCGCATATATCCGTTGCAGGAAGGACCCACCAGTAACCAAGACCAGAAAGATCTATGCGCGTTTTAAAGAGTACTATCTTATCTTATTTACAGCAATTACAAATGTGGACATAGCCTTGATACTTTGAAATGAAAAATTGGGTTATTGTAGGTAGTGGTGGTGTAGTTTTGGGGCCGTCCATAAATGATGTCACGCACCTGGGGGGGGGGGGGTCAGACATTTGTGACGATGTGACGAGGGAAGGGGGGGGGGGAGAAATGTGACGTCACATCAAAATGCGCAACTTTAAATAAATATTGAATTCTTATAACACAAATTGTTATAACACTCCTACATCAGAGTGCAGCGCCACATTAAATACGCACAATGACAATAGTTTAAAGCGATTTGAAGCATGTTCTATTTTCAAAATGGCAATATGGTTTGGGGGGGGCAGAGCTTTGTGACGTCGTATTTGGGGAGAGGTCTGACTTTTTGTGACGCCGTGTGACGAGGGGTCAAAAATAGTGTGACGTCATTTATGGACGGCCCCTTAATTTAATGGCAAAATTGATTTCGATTTACGTTGTTTCACCTAATGTGTTTTTTATGTAATAAATCGAGAACTTCAGTGCCTTCGGGATTTTGGAGCTGGCTCACCGCCTGGGCTTGGTGCTGTGCCTTACAAGTGGATATTATTAGTATCATCCAACAATGACCAGCATGGTGAAGTATAGTCAAACTAAACCTGACGTCCAACACGTGGCGAGATGTTCATCCAGCAGTCGAAAACGTAACTTATAGTAACCAAAACAACAAAGGATGCTTGGAAAATAAATCGGTTTCATTTTGTATATAAACGCGTATAACTCATGACGTGTACATGCTTGTAAATATACGATTCAGCTAAAAAATGTTAAACACATTTACACAAAGTCGCCAAGACATCAACTCGCTTAAATCTTTATCAAGTTGTCTTGTGGTTGTTGTTGTTTGACTTGCATCCCACTGGGATTTTTGCACACAGCGTTGGTGTACGGTAATTTTTCTGCAATATTTTGCTGTCTTTTCTTGGATTTTCTGTTTGCACATAGTCGCTTCAAGATGTTTTTTTGTTCATGTTTTTGTTTGTTGCGGTTGCACCCGATTCAAGAGCCGAATGGCTCACAGAGCTATACAAAATAAAACTGAAAAAAACTGAAACTACTCCAGGAGCTCAGAATTATTGCCCAAGTATATACGTGAGCAAGGTTACGACCATTTATGAAACAATTTGAAAACGTGTCAATATTTTGTCATAAATTAACTTTGCATGTCTAAAAGACAATAAAAGCTCTAACGAAATGTGCATTTGTAAACGATTAAACTTTTACATTTTCTGACACCGACATTTTTTTTTCCAAAAACATTCCTTGTGTGGTTGCACAGAGTCCAATTGGGGGGGGGGCAGCTGTGTAAAAAACCTGAAGTGAAATTCTCTGTTAAACCGACGATTTAAACAGCGACAGCTCGGGGAATTTTATACTCTTCATAATCAACGTTTTTGGGTTTAGATCGCATTACTTATAAATGTGTCGTAACCCTCCATCACCCGACACGGCCAATCAGTAAAAATGTGTCACGTTGACAAAGACAAATAGTTCACTGCTTTAGCCCACCGGTGTGTTGAAGCCACAACATTTACTCACCGGTGTGTTGAAGCCACAACATTTACTCAAATTGTAAATGTTGTGGCTTCAACACACCGGTGGGCTAAAGCAGTGAACTATTTGTCTTTGTCAACGTGACACATTTTTACTGATTGGCCGTGTCGGGTGGTGGAGGGTTACGACACATTTATAAGTAACGCGATCTAAACCCAAAAACGTTGATTATGAATAACATTGGTCGCGAAAGCCTACGTGTTAAATTTTATACTCTGTTTTATGCGGCTGACCGCTGCCCCTTCATACAGTAAATGGCTCCACATAAGAATAAGTAACCTAACATCCCTTGCAGGGAATCCTCTCGCGATAAAAAAAAATTCCACTTGCCATCCATCACGTGACCTGTGCGGGTATCACCACAATCATACTTCGAAGCTCTTGCTCGGATTCCCCAGAGCTTTGCCCTCCGAGTGGCCGCCCTAATGGCCCACTCCGACAGGCCAAACCTGGCACAATTGTAGGTTTTCAACTATAATACAGGTTTATGGGTTAGATCGTTTAAATGTGTTGTTAAACCCACCACCACCCGACAGCCAATTAGTAAGGTTTGTCATGTAACATGTCAATTCGTTACTAGTACAGTACACCAGTTTGTTGGAGAGCAAAGCCACAACATTTACAATCTAAGTACGTTTCGCCAATAACTAGCTTCATCAGGCGACAGCCAGATTTTTTTCGTTCCTTAAAGAGAGGTAGATGTGATGGCATCACTTGTGAGCACTTCTTTCGTGAATTGGGGGGGGGGGGGGGATTAATGAAAGCTTAAGACTATGGGTATCCATTGCCGATTGGGTTATTTATATGTTAATCAACATACATTATGCATGCGCATTAATGAACAAAGATTCTCCACGAATCTGGCTGTCGCCTGATGAATCTAGTTGTAATTACTGGCGAAACATCGTACTCGGATTGTAAATATTGTGGCTTTGCTCTGTTACTAGTGTAAGGGATCTGCGAGCCACCCTCACGGACACGCACCACGCAGACACGACATCTCCGCTCTCACTATAACACGCACGGGAATGCGCTGGACGGGGGTCAGGGGTTAAAGGGCAGTGACGTCACCCGGACCAGGCGTGCCCGACGCGGATGTGTATTGGGAACCAGGGCGGAGATGGAGGGGTTAAAAGGGGCTGTGAGACGTGGGTTCGGGGTTGGTTTTGGAACGAGTGTTGCTGTGCGTTGGAGACATAAAGAAGTGCTTTAACCATTCTCCGACTCCTTTTCACTAGTAACGAATTGGCATGTTCTGTTAATGTGACAAATCTTACGAATTGGCTGTGTCGGGTGGTGGCGGGTTTACAGACATATATATTTACGCGATCTAACCCAAAAAACCTGTGTTATGGATGATATTGGTCGTGAAAGCCTACGTGTTAAACTGGTTTTCAACTGTTAGATCAGTGGAAGCCGATATGTGAATCACGATCCATGGGTGGATGATCGCAAAAGATTTTGTTTGTTGATCTCAGGAAATAAGAATAAACACCTCTAATATGAAGCAATTCTTGTTATAGCAGATGGCAAAACAAAATCCCCGTCTAAGAATTAATAGATTAACAATATATTGTAAACCAATAGATCGCACTAGCACTTGGCATGTCTATAGTGTTCTATTAGTCGGTAAAATCCATCCGGGTAACTGTTGGTCATATCTTGCCGGTGGATCACGGAACATGTTGAGATATACCAGAATGGATCACAATGCTTTGTGGGTCGGACACTGCTGCATTAGTCAATAAACACCACTGATTCAGTAACCAATATTTTTGTGAAATCACCTTCATCACAAGGGGGTCACAGTGTCTTGGCTGGCAAAAAAGTGGGGCATAAGCAGTCCTAAACTATTCATACATCTTGATGCTTACACACCTGAATTGGCTGTTTGTACTGGTTGGCAAGGTAAAAATTGTAAATTTAAAAAAATTGCGCTATTATTTCAACCGCTGCGACAGGAGAACGAACCGGCGACCTCTGGATTGCAAGTTCAGAGTGCAAATCGTCCATTACTTCAGGGTAGCGTTTCTCATAACCGCCACTGATTTTTTATCAATTGTTCACCTCTGCTTGCGAGCACAATGTACACTTAATTAACTCTGCAGATGTAAAACCCAGAGTGTATGCCCACTCATGCACCTCCTCCTACATCTTGTTGACACCGCAGTGCACACGCATCCACAATGCACTAGTGCTGCCTGGGTTTTTTAGGCCGGGGAGAAGGCGAGCCCCATGGGGTGGACTCCAGAGGGTTGTAGCCTGGAATCTGTGACAACGGACACACAGACGGCACAAACGGACAACAAACATGGTCACCCAAATAAGCCTTTAACAGACTGTGCTGCTGTTAGCCGGCATGGCCCACGTGGGGGTAAGTTGGCCAGCACCTCTCCCCAGTGCTGATGTTTACACACTGCACCATGTACTCATTTAAGAAAGAGTTGACCTAGGGTAGACAAAACAGCAGTTCAGATAATCCTCACTGGTGTTGGCGGTGAGCGAGAATTGGGTTACCGGGTTCATAGCACAGCGTGCTAACCGCTACACCACCACTCTCACACACACATGCGAGTATTTACAACACAAGCGATACGTTATTATTACACTTATTAACACTGAAAAACGTCGCCAAGTCTCAAGACTCTTCTTCAGAAGGGTCTTGCGAAATTTTTGCCGTCGCTGTGTAGTCCCAATTGAGTAATTTGCAGGTGATTTTTCAGTATTGGGATGTTTTGCCCAATACCAGATACATTGCATTGGGTTTTTTTTATTGTAAGAAACTAGAGGAAGCGGAGGAGACCCAGAACAGGGGGAAAACATACAATCTTCACACACTCACACTAACTCACTCACACACTCCATCACACTCGCACTCTTGATGAACAGGGGAAGAGAAGATAACTCCACGCGGAAACACATCCTAGTTAGGAATCAGACCCAGTTTTCTTGCTGCAAGGCGTAAGGGGTTACCAATGTGCCACTCTGCCGCCCATGGCGATACATAAACTACCTCAATACCAGTTTCAACACATGCTTATTTTTAGATATGGGAGGAAACCAGAGAATTCAGAGAAAACCCACGCACAACAGACTCATGGAATTTTGTTAAGAAATCTGATATATACCAAGGCACCACACCCTGACTTAGCTTGGTATTTTGAGAACTCGCATTCATCAATAACACCGCCCCAAACGATCATTTAAATAAGTCTTTCTTGTGCAATGAACTAGGGCCATAATAAAAATCTGTATTTTATACAGCACCTTGCATATCGAAATATCTCAAAAAGCACTGGACGTAAATAACTATACTCAAGTATAGATACAAAAAAATCGAAATACAGTAAAAGCCGATAATAACAATAATGACAGCTATACTGACACTTTACACAGCATGCAAAATGCAATAAAAGCTAATCATAATGAACAAAGACTAAGGAACGTGGGTAGCATCTAAAAGCATCCAGCAGCATCCAGCCTTGTGTGATGCTACGCCGAGGCAGCCGTTACAACCGCTTATTCCTGCTCGCGCGACTTAGTTCCATTCATTCAACCGAGTTATATCTAATTCGCATCCGCGTTATACAAAAAATGTGTTCCCTCATACATTCATCATCGCGTTATATCCAATATGCCAGTTATAGGAGTTATAGGACAACAGACTGCAGCCCAAAATGCAAGCTATACATATAATTTTTCCATCCAAGACCGGAGTTTCTTTTTAATTCCTGTGTTATAAGGGTATTACGTTCAGGAGCTACATGCCAATTTATGGGTCTGATAGCCACAGGAGAGCCTCAGGAGTGATTTTGTGTCATCATGCCACCCCTCCATTGAAGGAACGCAGACTACAGTGGTAGACAATGTGGTCCATAGTTTGGGTTGCATGGCCACAATCGTACAGTAGCTTGTCTTTAATGCACCGCTATGTATCTGTACGAGTCTCTGAATCTCTAGGCATCATAATGGGTCTCTCTGTATCGCCTATGTATCTCTCATGTCTCTCTATGGGCCTACTATACGGTTCCACAGTTTGGGTTGCATGACAACAATCGAAATGCTGTGGCTTGTGTCATTAATTTTCCATTTAGGAAGAAAGCGTGCGTATCGGCCCGCTGACGTTCCGATGCGGCGAGCGTTTGTTTTTTGTGCACTATTGCTGCCGCAGCAGCAGCAGCAGCATGGTGTGGTATTCCGAGGTTGTGTGTCGCGCCACGCGGCGAGTACCTCCGGGCGGACGAGGTGCATGCGGATCCGCTGGTGCTGCAGGTTGGACGAATCCAGTGACACGCGCACGCACACGCGGTCGAACATGTTCAGCACGATGCCCTGCACGCACAGCGTGGGACCCTACACAAAACACAAAGACAAATATCTCCCGTGTAGCCTTAACAGACTGTTGGCGAGGAGTACCAATGAAGGCCAGCACGGCACACAAGGGGGTGGGTCGCCAGCGCCATGCCCGGCCGCCTTTGTCTCCCCAGTGCCGATGTTTACACACTGCACCAGGTACTCAATTGAGTTCCGAGTCGACCTAGGGGAGGCCCAGGACCAGTTCAGATAATCATCACTGGTGTTGACCGTGCGAAGGAATCGAATCCAAGTCGGCGGGATCATAGCGCAGGGCGCTAACCGCTACACTACCGCTGACTGCTCTCTGCTAAGTGCCCTGCACACGCACACAAGCACGGATTGACGTAAACCCAACGTTATTATTCATACAATTACATGGGTCACTCAGAAAAGCCTCACTGATTCTCAAAACGTTTGCATTCAAGGTCACTGCTACGTGCCAACCTTGGACCATGACGCTGGCACACAAATAACGTTACAGGATCTTTAAACGTCCACCGTCAAAGCGGACGGCCTGTACATATTTTACGCTTAATACACACCACAGTATTAACCGGAGCGGCCACCGAGTTTGAAACGCAAACCTCCACAACACACGGCAAATGCAATACCGCTGGGCCACCTCACCGCGACCTTAAAACCAGGCGTGAGAAACCGATGGCTGCAATGACCAAACCAACCGAGGGATCGTGATTTGCGGGCCAGCCAAGGAATTTTAAAGCCTTATTTAGCAGTCATTAAGGAGTAGATGCAACCACACTTAGGTTATATGGAGTGTACAATTGCAGCTAAGAACATACCTAAAATATGGCTGCAAATGTTGACCCGTTTGAGCTTCTGGTCCAAATTAGGCTGTGTGCATATATCCACGTAGAGTTACAACGTCATGCGGCATTGCAAGGCATGCTGAGAATGACCGGATCCAATGGTCACAAATGTGCTTTTTGCCATCTAGGAGGTCACTTTTTGCATCAACTACTATTTCCCTCATTTGCTTTTATTCTGCAAGTACTTTTCTGCCATTTCAGTTTCTCATTGTTTACAGCGTTAGATTTTCTCTATAATTCTTCGGGATCTGAGGGATTTTACTGTATTTTTTTCATGTGATGCCCTCACCGCGACAATTACGGGCTACGTCTTGGCAGTTATTTCCAAAGCATATTTAATTGTGACCGTTTTATATTTGAAATGCATTTACATCATTTAATGTATCCACTGGTGTAACTTCCTCTGTAATAGTCCACACTGCCAAACGGCAAAAAAAACGGAGCTTCGTATCTCACTGCGTTCTTCCACCTTAAACCAAGTGTCTGTGTGTCTGATAGAAACCGAATCGTAGAGAGATGGTCAGGGGGCTTGTGTCCCAGTGCATTAAGCCAGTACCACATGCAGTCCTGGGTTTAAATGCAGAATTCAGCCGTTCGGGGAATGCCAATGCCTCCCGGTTAAGTGAACACGTGCCCCACCTCCTCGTCGAAGGTAACGTTGAGCTTCAGATCTTTGGATTCAAAGAAAACCGTCCCCTCCAAGCCGTACTTGGGAATGAGCACCACCACGGCGTTCTTGCGCACAAACAGCACGAAGCCCTCTTCGCTCACCACTCCCTTGCTCTTGAAGAACAACTGAGACCACAAAAACAACAGCCGTTAATCACCGCTACGTGGCCGAGAGCAGACACACGCGCACACGTGCATCACTTACGAAGCCCATTATTACTAAACAAAATTTAAGGTATTTTTCTGCATCCCCCCGCTAATTTATTCCAGTTGTGCTATTGACATCATGTCATGGGGATTATTTTGGGTTCAATCGTGAAGGTACAATGTCAATTGAATTGACTATAATCCTCCATCACCTGACGGAGAAAATCAAATAAAGTTGTCACATCATGGGCAAATGTGCTAAGTGACTAGGTTTTTCAGCAAACCCAGAAGAATGCTGAAAAGCAATGTAAAGTGTAGCGAACCAGTACAGCCACGTCACCATCACAAGTAAGCATGCGAATAGAAAACAATTGATTCTTACTACATGCATAATATGATGCCTGCTTTCGTGACCTTAAAAATGGTTTTCAAGAGACGAATAGACGCATCGTCAGGTGCCTAAGCACATGCCGTGCAAGCTCCACGTGGCCCACACTTCCGCCTCCCACCTGCGTGTGGAAAGCCACAGACGAGCGTTGGGCGTACTGCGCCATCTTGTGGCGGTAGTTGAGGTTGTTGCAGAGCTGCTGCTGCTTCTGCTTGTCGGTGAGCGCCGGGTACGTGGGGTCGGCGCCCACGCACACGGCCAGCAGCCGGTGCACAATCACATCCGAATATCTGCAACGGTACAGGAAGACAACAACAATATTCACATTTGTTGTATCCTCTATTTAATCTGATGATTTAATCTGAAAATGCAATTGTTTACAGTAGATACAGGCTGCGGTATGGCCACGAGATGCCAACGGAGCAGCGGTATTAATCCACCAAGCACCGCGATTCATTCTGATGGATCTCAGCGGGCTTCGCGATCCACTAGAAAGCTACGCAAACAATGACTCAGATGGATTTAACGCTGTGATAGAATACAGTACTCTGGACATACCACGTTCTAGCACCATCTGTTGGTGGAAGTTATCTTTGTTAATGCATTAATTTAATTCTTTGTTTATTTTTTTATTTGTTATCAGATGTGACGCAAATTGCTGCCTTCTCATATCTGTGTTCTTATTAAATCGTTAGCGATCCATGGCAGGATTGCGATTCACTTTTGGCCGCCGCTGCAACACGGCAATGGATTCTTGATTCTGTACGTGGAACACTGTCACCCTCCTTGTAGGCGTTCTCCGGATCCTCTAGTTTTTCTCCAACACAAGCCAAACAACCATTTAAGGAGTTGGCCAAACTTCCCGTTTATAGGACCTTTTAGAAAAATAAGTCAAAATCTGAATCTTTATCCTGGAGAAATCCGATTCGCGATAAAAGCTCTTTTTGACAGATGCCCAGTAGGTAGATGATAGGAGTGCTAAGAATAGGAAAGGTAAACAAATCACTAAAAGTAAATAATAGAAAAAAGATATATAAGTTGTATGTTGAACTTCATTCGCAAGTTAACATTGCATAAGTACATCAATAATAAATAAATTCCTAAACTTGGGAAAGGCAGCACAGTCCCAGACCACAGCAAGACAACAACATAGTCCCCTCAATAATCGCGAAGGTCGATTTCAAGCGTGTGCCTGGTGCCAGAGCACGTCACCGGCGAATGGGCGACGTGAAGTGGGTGTAGATGGCGGTGGCGAGCCCGTAGTGGTGGGTGTCGGGCTCCATGCCGGAGCAGAAGTAGATGGCCTGCATCATGCAGCGTGTGGCCAGGATGCGCAGCAGAGTGTTGAGGTATGGTGGCGCACCCGGCACCGCCGCCCGGTCCAGGGACTCGGCCAACGCCTTCGCCGAGTCCACCTGAATCTCGATGTCCTGCGTAAAAAATCGGGCACACCGTTGTTTGTGAGGTGACTATCCCGCACGTGGCTTGTCGTTCAGTGCTGGAGAAGCAGCAAGGGTTGTGGTGGATTGGAAAGAAAATGTTATTCAGCGCACTTCCTGTGGGCATTAAGGTTTCCATATCCTGGCTTGCCAGGAGAAGGCAGTACAGCAAGTGGATTAATCTACATCTGTACGGGGACAGTGGGTTGCTCACCCACCCGCCTGATGTGGATGTTCTCAGAGTGCTCTGGTTTCCTCCCATATGTATAAATGCTTTTTCATTGGCTGAAAATATCTTAATACATAGAGCACTGTGGAGCTTGGGCAAATGTTCGCGCTGGCACAGTGCCTGGCTGCCTTACAGCTTTGTTTGTGGTTCGTCACACCTTTGAGTTGTTCTGCTTCGAAGGGCGAGTGAAAACTATACGGCGACATCTCAAGACAAATGTAAAGGTGCAGCCCTGCAATTGCTCACTCAGACCAATACTGAGATCGCTTCAAGACACCTCTGCTTCACAGTCGTGGGTAGCACATTCCCACCCATTTTTAGCATAATGTTCATCACAATAAGTCAACCTGATATTTCAACATTTCAGTGCTGGAATTGATCTAAAATTAAATACAGTACTACATGGTTTTTTGCTTATTTCTGTGGAGTGGCTGGGAAACGAGCCGAGTCCTTCAACTCCCTACACTTGATAACGCAGTTTGTTCAATGCGGCTGCTGAATTTTGAAGCCGGGATCCCAGCTGTAATCTCTGAGCCATAGGGTGACCCAGGTGACCCTTGCAAATGAGACTATCATGGTCTCTTGAGTTCTCACCCGATTAAACCAAAAAACCTGAAAACAAATTTGATCCACCCGGCGACCTCTGAAATTCCTTACGAGGAGGATGATATTAAAGAAAGGTTAACAGCAATCTAGATACAGTAGAACCCCTATTAAAGACGGTAATTGGTTCCATGAAACCGAGCATTAAGTGATTTGGCTATTAAGCAAGGAAAGGAAATACGTGTTAAAAGCTTAATTCGTTCTGATAGCATCTAAAGTTTCCCTTTTTCACCCAAAAAACGTAATTTCTAATATTTAAACAATGGATATTAATACTAACGACATTATAAACACATATTTTAAAAAACGGTTAATAAATGCATTCATTTATATTTAATGTATCTACAACAGCCCGTCGTTAACAGGGGAATGGTCGGTAAGCGAACGCATTGGGCGCTATGGAAACACTACACAACCATACACTACACATTGGGCTCTATGGAGGCCCGTCGTTAAGCGATTAGTTAACAGGGGTGGTCGTTAAAAGGGGTTCTACTCTACCTTTGATTTCGCCGCCTTCACCAAGATGTCGTAGTTGGAAGGCGGAGGCGCCGGGTGGCGTCGGAGCAGCGCACACTCGGGGAATTCGTCTACGATGCGCTCCGCCACGGAGATGTTGGCGAGCAACATGAACTCCTCCACCATCGAGTTGGTCTCCCTGTGTACACGCACCAGTTTCCGCCACCACAGCACATCAACCACAAGGGTCAAGTATCTTTATCTTATATTATTTTACTGATAATAAACTTCCCACGTGATAAGCCACTTTGTTCAGCTATCATTTGTGGTCAGGGTTTTACTTGGTAAATAAAAAGTTTCGTTTTTTTTGTATATTTGTTTACGTTATTTTTTTAACCTTCCAATACTTTTCAATCCTAACGTGTGCTTGTATTGTTTGTTGTTGTAACGTTGTGACATGCCCCAACTGGACATCTGTGAAAAAAAGAGCTCGAAAGCTCATCGGATTCTTCGAGTAGAAATATATATTCTGATTCTAATAGAGAGATCTGCACAACAGTCGGATTGCAGTCGGATTGCAGACGAGACTCACTTGAGTTCCTTGGTCTGCAGGTCGATCGGGTCGTGGGTTTCGCTGTCCATGTGGAATCGGACCTCAGGGGATGCCAGAGTCAACGCTCTACGGGTGGAGGAGAAGGGACATCGGCGATTATGCATGTCCAGCCAAAACAACACAGAATCTTAATATAAGACACTTCACGAACTCAGATATTTGAGTTGTACATGTACAGTTCGTTAGTCAATCTACTGCTGGATGAGGGCCGCCCCATGTCATGCGGGTCGTGGGGTGGTTTTACCGTACTTAACCGTGGTGGTCAGTACGCGTTGGCAAAGGTGGGGGAGCACACGCATGGGGGCATGATGTAGAGTAAGACAATTGATGTTACTGCATTGTCCTCTCTTGCCCACAATGCAGCCCCGCAGCAGCCTGTAACACTTCAATCTAGAAGGATGTTATTAACCAGGTAAAACCTTAACTGCTTTATGGTGTTACCTGCATTTCTGCATCTCCAGTTTCTACAGCCTCCCACTCCCAGGCCCGTCCACTCCCCCCACCCCACCCCTGGCATTGTCTGCTCGTCCTCTAAACGTTTTTGCTCGCAGCAATCCCCTCCCCCTACCCCACACCCCCCCCTCTCTATCTCTCCCCCCATTGCTCCTCCCCCCTCTCTTAACTATATAGCCTCTTGTTACAGCAGCCCTTTTTGCCCACATCAGCAATTGTTTCTTGCTGTGGTTGTCCCACCTGATGACGGACGCTTGTGTTGCGCCCGAAACGTCGTGATTTAATTTAGTTTAATTTATACCTACGTGACTTTACCGAAAGAACCAAAGAGTATGCCTGTAACACTTGTTTGTGCATGGTATTCACCAAAAGCCTCATGCATCATGGGGTCAAAAAAAGCTACAGGTGCAGCCTTGTGATTGTTTGCTCAAGCCACTGCTAGAAGAAGGGGGCTCCCATAAGAGGGGGCCCTCGAGAGACACCCTTCTACAGTCCCTCTCAATGTATTTTCCCTCCTCTTCCATGCTGGCCGGATGTCTTAGATGACACGGGAGTAACCACACTTTACCGCGCCACACGCGACCTGCCGATTGACTAAATGTGGGGCACCCGTTAATACTGCTCAGCGCTCCAAAGGCGGTGGAGCGGATGAGGATCTTGACAATGAGTTTGCATTCTGACCGCAGGTATTGTGGTTAATGCAAACATGATTCCTTGTAAAAAGGTGTCAGTTTTGTTGCCAGAAAAAAGGGTAAAAAACCTATTATTATATTTTGCTAAAGGCAAAGGAGGCCTCATGATGTACATGCTTACCCCGAGCCCTCATACTCTGATGGTGCGTTGTCTTTGAATTGTGCGCCTTTTGGCATCATCTGGTCCAACACCATGTACGACTGGGCTCTAAGAAAAGCTGTCTCTGGTGTGGACCAATCAATTTCAAGGACAGTGCATACATTTTCAGAGTTGTTTTTTGTTTGCATTTTGACCCCAGGTATTGTGGTTAATGCAAAAATAATTCCTTGTAAAAAGGTGTCAGTTGTGTTGCCAGAAAAAAGGGTAAAAAACCTATTATTATAATGAGTTACCCGTTTTGAATGCGCCTCTGCTTGAGGATCTTGGCAAGGGAGTTGAGGCCACGCAGGCTGCTGGTGACCGCGTCCTTCCGCCCAGCGTCGTCCATCATCAGCTGGGCCTCTGCGTACGTCAGAGACGCCTGCGGGGATACGATGAACAGACAATGGGTGAACCGTGGGGTCCTCGCAATCACACAATGCCCACGCCTGATCCAAGCCCAAGCCAGAACTCAACAGATGTCTATGTGTCTCCCGATGACCAGAGGGTTACGCTCACCCACAGACAGTAGAATTTATATATTTTTAATTCTCAAAGCTGGAATTTAACCAAATTTAGTGCAATGTAATTTGGTGGTCTTTTGTGCGAGTTTAACACGTAGGCTTTCGCGACCAATATCATCGATAATAGTTTTTTTTGGGTTTGATCATGTAAATATATAATTGTGTCGTTAAACCCGCCACCACCCGACACAGCCGATTAGTAAGGGTTGTCACATAAACAGAACATGCCAATTCGTCACTGGTACAGCACACCGGTGTGTTGGATATCCAAGCCACAACATTTACAATCGGAGTATGATGTTTTGCCAGTAATTACAATTAGCTTCCTCAGGCGACAGCCAGATTTGTGGAGAAGTCCACCTGTTTCGTTCCTTATATAGAGGCGTAGATGTGATGACAACACTTGTGCACTCTTCTTGTGCAAAGTTGGGGGAGGATTGATGAATCTGGCTGTCGCCTGATGAAGCTAGTTGTAATAACTCGCGAAACGTTTTCAGTTTCATTTATTTAGAATAACCCTGTGAGCCATTCGGCTCTTAATTCGGGTGCAACCGCAACAAATAATACGTCATACTCGGATTGTAAATGTTGTGGCTTGGCTCTCAAACACACCGGTGTGCTGTACTCGTGACGAATTGGCATGTTATGTTTACGTGACAACCCTTACTAGTTGGCTGTGTCGGGTGGGGGTGGGTTTAATGATACATTTACATATTTACACGATCTAACCTAAAAACCTGTGTTTTCTGAAGTGATTGTTGACTGGGCAGAGACCATCAACTCACTACTTTCATATCCTTCCTCGCACCTCCGATTAGCACTGTTGGCTACGTACGGTGCGAAAGAAGTTCAACATACATACTACCACTTGTGAACCCTGTTCATCTTGCTACACTTGTGAACCCAGAGGTGCAAGCTCAATGCTCTGACCTCTCAGCCATCCGGAAACCTCAACTGCACTAACATAGCAAGGCACCGATACAATACACAGCAAACGAGAGTTTTACAAAAACTGAACGTCTGTGGGGGGGGAAATCACCTTGGAATTGATGATGCTCTTGGTAAAACGTGTGCTCACGATCTCAGCCTTTGGAGTCATCTCCCATATGCACGAGAACGCCAGCCTGCACGCGCACAGCACATGCACCGTCGCCATTCACCGACGAGTTGCGGAGTCGTCGACATTGGAGCGGTGCAGGGTGTTTACTCAGGAAAGCCTCGCAAAGTCTCGAGACTCTTTTTCAGGAGGGTCTTGCCAAGTTTTTGGTAGTCAAGTCATTCTTTCAGCAGCGGGATGTTTGGCCAAATACCGGTTTAGGTTGTTACAAATTACTCAACTGGAATATATACGTAGCAACCATTGTTCCCGACTGCAAAAGCTTTGCAGTACCCTCCTGAAGTTATGAGATTCAGTGAGGCATTCCTTGGTTAAGGATCATAGTAATAATAACACGTTTATCTTAGCGATGAGAGGAAACCTGATAACCTGGAGTCAACCCATGCAGAATAGGGCGAGAACATACAAAATCTACATGGAAAGGCAACCGAGTTGGGCATCAATCCTAGGCCATTCTTTCTGTGATACACAAGTGTTACCATTGCGCCATCCTGGTTTGGCTGCTTATGTATGTACACATGTTTCGATTTAAAGCTTTCGTGACTGCAGGGATTCATCTTCTTGGTTCTTTCGGTAAAGTCACGTAGAAGGGAAGTAATAAAATAATAAAAATAAAACATAATAAAACAATTCTCACGACGTTTCGGCCACAACGCAAGCAGCCGTCCTCAGGCGAAGAATGTACACATGCTTGTGTGGATCTGTACAATGACACTTTAACAGTGCCACGCATCATGGGATTACATGTGCACCTGGCAAACAACGCACGTTAGCTGCTGCGTATGGGTTGCAATGTGCGAACTCGCGTGTTCACGGTTGTTGGTGCATCTCACCGGTCGACGTTGGATCTCAAGGAACACAGGTTTGAGCTCAATAACTCTGGCACCATATCAATCCTCTGCAGGTGCACAAACACATAAACGCAACCACTTCTCTGTCAATAAACACAATCTGGCAAATACATATGCACCAACTCAACGAGTGTTTTGCAACCAAACCCACACATGATTAAGTCACCTGCAGGTAACTGTTCAGCAAGGGGATGTTTTCGCGAATGCCAGTTAAGATTGTATGGGTTTTATTTAGAGGAAACCTGGTGATTCCAGAGGCAACCCATTCACTAACAGTGGGGAGAACAAACAAACTGCAAGCGAAAAGGCACACGAGTTGAGTAATCAAACCCAGCGTCTCCTTGCTGCGAGGCACGAGTGTTACCACTGCGCCGATAGCCTGCCGCTCATGAGGTCACGGTACATCATATGATAAGAAATCCACAAAATCACCTAATTTAAAACATCATGAGAGATATTTAGCATTGTTGTTGAACAATTTTTTTTATTCTAATTCATTTTTAAGTTATCTTTATTCATACGGGAAGTACTGAAAAGCACGCAAAAAATTGAGTGAAAATGTGAAATACAATTACAAAGTTGTGGGGAAACTGGTACCGCGATAATCGTTACATCGTAATATTTTACATCATGTCATAAAGTTAAGAATGAAAGGAGAAAAATCGGCGGGTCGTAAAACACTTGATATTGTGGTAAGATGAAATCCACATCTCACCTTCTCACACAGGTAAACAGTGGTACCACGCAGAGATGCCTCCTCGTCCAAGGCATTCCCCGGCCGGATAAAGTAGCTCACATCGGCGATGTGTACCCCGACCTAGAACACACGTTCATGCACCGTCACCACCCTCGCATGCATGCATGTAAGGGTAATTACGGTTATAGCTGCATTACATAATGCCTTATTATGAAGGGGCGTATCAGGGGTAAAGGTCAAGGGCGGAGTCAGTCGAGAAGCTCCGGGAACCATCCTGAAGGGTCTACAACAGGGGGCATGGCCAGAGGTGGAGCTTGGCCACTCCAGGCAGATGTAAGGAGCACCAAACCAGAGCTTCGGGGCTCCTTAGTGTGGGGTCTGGGTCCCGGTTGCATCGCTACCGTCGTCATCTCTTCGTTTTCGACCACATGGCTGTTCTTCTGCAAGACCAGCTCCGTCGCCGCCGCTACGATCGTCAACCAGCCAGCGTAGCGCAGGACGGAGATGGGCTGCGTGTTTGGACAGCCTGGGTGTAGCCGAATTATGAAGTGTATCGCCCTGTGTGCTCTGAATAAATAAGAAGCCTTCAAATAGACGTGTGTCGGAAGTCGCTCACTACACATGCATGCATGCAAAACCTCCACCATAGCCACTCCAACCAAAGCACAAGAATGTGAAATGAAATGCACACCCATTACTACCTGGTGCATTCATTGTGAGCCAGGCATTCGGCCAGTGAAGTGGGGTCTTAGCCATGGCTTGGCTCAGGTTTGGCTCTAGCGCAACATGCATTGAGATTATTTCTATTATTTTGGTTGCTATAAATGTCCAAATGATGGGTCACTATGTTGAGCTATTCATTTGTGGCCAGGTCACTTCTCAAAAATAAATTAATACCTCAGTGGGCTTTGCTTGGTAGGATGGGGATGGTTTAGATTTATTTGTATGTGTATGGGTAATGTGTTTCACTTTCTTGTACTTTGCACTACTATTATGTTTTTGTCCTGTTTGTTGTTGTAACGTTCTTACCCGCCTCTACTGGACATGTGAAAAATAGCTTTATAGCTCATCGGATTCATCCAGTATAAATATTCTGATTCTAATTCTAAATAAGCCACATCGAAGCAACGCTTAAAACTCGAGCCGCCTCCGAGCATGGTTCCAGCCCTGAGCCTCTGTGTGTGTTCCTTGTGCCTCCTCGTATCTCTCTGCATGCTCCCAGCCACGCTAAAAATTTCCGTGAGCTGAGCCCGAGTCATGGCATAGCTGAGCCACTCATGCATCTTTGGAGGCAACGGAGCAGATCAAGCCAGAACCGAGCCGTGTTGAAGTCAGTCCTGAGCCGAGCCGAGACCAAGAATACGGCCACTAAGGCAACAATGTTTGGAAACTTAATAACAGGAATATTGTCCACCACTTTGTCAATCCACTGCAGAATGAGGACTTCTCAATGCCGTAATGGGTCGCGATTGTCATTTGACCTTGCTTTATTACGATGGTCAATGCAGGTGGTGAAGGGGAGAACTTGGGCAGTTTTTTAGATATCACTCTGTACCGGTGTTAGCCATGACTGGGAATCTAACCCAGCTTGAAAGGATGAATGTGCAGTGCACTTATCATCGTGCCACTAAACTCCCCTTGTCACCTCCGCTAGCACTGACAAAACCATGAAAGGAATAGGCACGAATTACCGCGACTGCGACCACGATAACCACCACCAAAGGAATACCTCGGTGTTCCCATTGTCGAGCGGTCTGCAGTGTAGGGCATCGTCGATGTCTGTGCAGCCTGGAGGATCCACACTGCAGATAGACAACGCACGAAGGTCCTCCCTGCCAGCCTGGTCCTTGTACGGGACACACACAGCACCAGGTTCAACAAAACGCTGCCTTACAACAAACAAAACACAGGGTGAGCCATACATGGATAAACCAACTTCATTCTAATGACGTTCTATCTTCTCAATAGGCGACTGAATATTTTGAAAGTACAGTCCGTTCTCCTATAACTCCGCATGTTTTCATATCGTGAATTAGATATAATGCGATGAAAGCATTAGGGAACACATTTTTTTCATAACATGGATGCGAATTGGATTGAATGAACAGAACTGCGTTGTGCGAGGCAGAATAAGCAGTTGTACGGTTGCCTCGGTGTAGCATCACACAAGGCGGGATGCTGCTGGATGCTTCTAGATGCTACTCACGTACCTGCGTACGCATCTCACGTGTTATCGCGGACTGTGCTTTACCCTATATTATATTATTTAATATGCGATTTTTTCACAATTCGGTGTTCTTCAGGAACGCAAGTACAGCGTTATAGGAGAAAAGTCTGTAGTCCCCTTGCTCCATTCATTTCTGTACTGGACCATCTCCAAAGCCACTGCAGAGTCCTCCACATCCTGGCTCACCACTTTGATCCGCATCACTCAAGGCCTGCCTCTCGGGTCTCCGCCCTGGTGCTTCCATAAGTCCGTCGCCTTCCTTCCACCGGATGTGAATTTCCTCTCTTCTTACGATGATGTGTCTGAGCCATCGACTTTCTTTCAGGTCGACAGCTTTTCTATATACGGTCTGGTAAAAGTGAGCCCTGTGGCTTCTCGTTCATGCCAGTGCAGCGGCAGGTCCTCAACTCGAGGGAGCTCCAGAGAGGCCCTCTAGAAGGTATTCTACGCAAGCCAAACATCTTGAAACCATTGAGGTTTGACAGCACGATGATGTTTTCACATTTGTCTATTGTCGAGGGCCTATACGTCGGGGGCCGCACATCATGGGTCACACCAAAGGCCACCAGGGGCCATCAGTGGCCCGCGGGCCTTGTAATAAAGAAGTAAAGGATTCTCACATGCACGACCAAACACACCAACGCACCGCAGGCGTAAGAATTTAACTCGTCTCATGCGTACCTCTGCTGTGATGCTGAATGTGGGAGAGGGCAGGCAGGCAAGTACGGCCTGGCTGAAGGGCTGGTGTGGCACGTCGTGCTCCAGCAGCAGCACCTCGGTCTCCGTCTCCTTATCCCCACATTCGCCCAGAGACCGCACAAAATGGCCCTGCACAAGCACACCTACGATTAGTATGGTTGTCTACGTAAGGTGCCAAAGAAGTTCAACATGCATATGTACATACGTGGCCAATGGTCACCGGTATCCCTTTTCCACTGGTACATTGGAGCTCAGACAGCGCAGAGCTCTCGAGGTGTCTGTGGTCACCCACTGGCTTTTTGCAGTGTCGAACCGGAACCAAACCAGGGTATGCTGGCCCCACAAGGCATCCAAATCTATCCGGGGGCCGAGCAGGGCCAGGGGCGGTGCTAACGACGCGTTAATTGTGTGATGGCAGTCGATACGCCACGAGGACGTGGCGCCACAGCGTCATCTGCACGTGCCTAGACTTGTTCAAAGCATTGACGTCCGTGGCATGGATCCGCTTCTGCAGTGGATAAACAACCTGCAGCCTACTAAACCGTGCCAGCCATGGTACCGCTCGGTTGTGCAGTGGCAAATAGGTATGAAGAGCACAACCACAATGCCAACCTTATACCTAATGTTCATGATGTAGAATATTAACCGGCATCTGTTTAAACAAAGATACAACCCAAAGAATACATCTTAACAATATATTTACATACTCTTTGGTTCTTTAGGTAAAGTCACGTAGGTATAAAATAAAATAAATCGCGACGTTTCGATCGCAACACAAGCGGTCGTCCTCAGGCGAAAAAAATATAATACAGCAGTGGAACAGCTCAGACCCCGCTTGCTTGCCCATTGCCACATATATAGCCTTGTTGTAGCAGCTCTCTCGTTAGTTCAGCAGTTCCACTGCTGGATTATACTTTTTCCGCCTAATGACGACCGCTTGTGTTGCGATCGAAACGTCGTGATTTATTTTATTTTCTACCTACGTGACTTTACCGAAAGAACCAAAGAGTATGGATTCAGGTAGTCACGAAAGCTTCAAATCAAGATTGAATAAATTTTACTTTTCCCCAGTTTTTTTCTCATTGTGTTAATGGTATCACACAAGACACGCAATCTATACCACCCTTCGTGGTCAAGGACGACCAACAGGAGCAGACATAACAGAGCTACGTCTAAGATCCATTGAAGTGAAATGCGGTCCAAATTGTAGGGGGACAGTGCTTTTCCAACGACTCTGCCAATCAAAGTAATGTTCATCACATGGCAGTCAAAAACAGTAATTTTCTCAGAGATGGAAATTAAACAATCCAAGTGCACAACCAAATTTAATATCGTTTTTGGTGCAGTTATTGGTGACTGGGCTGAGACTATCAACTTACAACACCTTAATAACCTAGGTTGAATCACAGGTGAGTTTGCCATGCTTTCAAACTAAGAATCACAGTGGTGCCAGCTCATCCACCTTGACTTCCAATTCACCATGTCACCGTTCGTGTTTTGGGTTCGATGGCTGTATTGCATACAGAGCTGCGTGGCCGCGCGTCAAGTGACAGAGGGATGGGCCCCAAGATGCCGACCATGGGACGGACGGGTGAGGTGTCACGGCGTGCGGGGCGTCACGGTGCAGTCGTACGTTCGGGTAGCGGGAGTGTCGCAGCCAGCCATCGATGGCCACCACGATGCGGTGGGCCTGCAGGGCCGCCGCTTGTCTCGTCTCCACCCGCACTCGTGGCATGCGGCGGTCCGCGGGCGTGAACAGGTGGCGGGTGGCCTGCAGCACGCACAAAGAGCCCCCAGTAAGGCATTCAACAAACTGTTTGGGCGACTGCCGTCAGCACACATCTATTAAAGCTGGTATGGCAAACGACGGGGTGGGTACGGCCAGAACCATGCCCGACCGCCTTTGTCTCCAAAGTGCTGATATTTACATGCCACATCAGATACTCATTTATGGCCGAGTCGACCTAGGGAAGGCCTCAAGACAGGTTCAGACATTTGCCACTGTTTATTGGTTGAGCGATAAATATAATCGAACTCGGGTCCCAGGATTCGCAGCGCAGCACGCTAACCGCTACATCACCGCTCCCCACACGTACACACACATATGCAGATAAGCCCACCTCCTTGATTGGGCTGGGCATGAGCATGCCGCACAGCGGCCTCGAGTTACGCTTGATGATCCCGACCACTTTGCCAGTGGGCCGACGCATCTTCCCACTTTCGGCTTGCAGCTGGAAACCAAAACAAAGGACAAACATCGTGTTGCGTAATCTAAGCAAGAGCGACGACAGCAGCAGCTGGGATAGCACCGGGAGATGACAACTCAAACTCAAATGAGCACTCACCACAGTAGCGTCTCTCTCACACACTGAAATAATGAAAGAAATATTTTCTTACCTGCTCACTGAGTAACACAATACAATTTGGCTTGAAGGGGAAGGAGCAATCCAAAACAATAGCGCTTAACCTGCAGATGTGGTTTCATGCTGTGTCTCATGAGTGTCAATGAGACTGACACTTTGTTAAAATGACAAAAGATCACAGTAAATACTGATAAGTTAAAAGAGTTCTGGCGATTGATAGAATCAACCGAAACACGCCCATCAGACACCACACGTTTAAAAAAAAACGCGGAGACTTTCGCGACCAATATTATCTACAAAAGTTACCCTCCCATCGAATTCACAATTTGATGCTTAATCTCTCGATTCTTTATGATTTCACTTGCAATTGTGATTGACATTTTCTCTTACCTACTTAGCACATCAGTCACCCTATATGTGTTTAATGTTAACGTAACGTTTTTATAAGTATAACTATGCAATGATCAGTCTATAAATAATCTGCCCAAGCCAACTTGCACTACAAGCGATTTATTATCTAACACTTGTTTATGTTTGTGCAATATTGTCGACTTTTCACAAACCACGGTTGTTTTTTGTGCCAATTTCAATTAACTTCATTGCTGCACTTTATTTATGTTTCGCTTTTTGTCACTGTGGTATGTATGCATGTAGAACTTATTTCGCACCGTACACAGCCAACCATGCCAATCCGAGGTGCGAGGCAAGGACACCAATCTAAATACAAAAAGCAGTTCTGAAGAAATTAGTTTTCAATATAGAGGCCACCCTGTGACCCAGGTCACTCTCGCAAATAATGTGTCCTGATCTCTTGGTTTCTCATTAAGTTAAATAAAATAAACATCAAAAAGGAGCTCAGACCGTGGAAGCGAAGCTGTGTTGAGCCTGGATGTGCATAACAGGTGGTATAGGCTCTGCGCCAAAATGGCCGGCAGCAGAGCGCAGTACAGAAAAATGAACTGTTGTCCTGTCCTTCTATGCCCCCCTCACCAACCCGCACCGAAGTATGGTCAAATAATCCCTACGTACATATGTACAAAAATAATACGAAATGATTAGCACTCCCGACTTGATTTTGAAGTAATGTAATGTCATTTAAGAAACGCAAAATCAAGCTAACAGCATCTCTAATGTGGATTGCGGTCCGGTCACACGGTGTTCATTATGTTTAAGGTCTCTCTTGAAGTGGTTGAGTCTTTGTTGTTATTCTTTGTTTAAACTATACCAAAACTATTTAAAAACTATAAACTATTTTAACTTTACCAGGTAAGGACCCTGAGCTATATAGCTCTTTTTAAGTGACCTGGCCACAAAATGATCGTTCAATTAAGTGTCTTATCACATTTGAAATTGATAGCAGCCAAATACTCTAAATGCATGTCCGATTGTAACTGTGGAGAGAAAAACCAGAGGACCTGGAGAAAAATCCATGCGACCACGGGGAGAGAGACACATACACTGCAGGTGTCAGGGTTTGATTCTGGTTCGGCAGTGCTGACGTCCACTCACCACCACATCCTCCTCCTTCTCTTCTGCAACATCCCCTGAGATGCCCTCATCGTGCAGGACCAGCGAGGAGGGGGCCACCCAGCGCTCCTCGGGGAACATCTCCACGCACACGACGTCGTCATGCATCGCGCGGTTTAAATGCTGCAGCCCCTGGATCAACACCTGCACGCAGACAAAAAAAGATCCCCCGTATAGCTTTAACAGACTGCTGGGCCAAGTGCTGTTAGAGAGGAACATATACAAGAGTTTTAATACCACGAATAAACAATTAAAAATGTAGGACTATGAGCCTATGAATCTTCTGAAACCAATGTTTTTCAGGAACATATGTTCAAGCAGGCAATTTCTGGACTGTATCTAATTGTTAATTAACGTTACATTTTGTAACGTTAATTAACAGACCATTCATTTTGTTAACAAAGTAGTCACAATTCACATATATACTGTGGTTGTGGTGGCGTAGCTATCGAGTGTGCAGGCAGTGCAAATGCACCAAAACCCAATTAGCACGGTAGGCTACGTGGGGTGCAAAAGACGTTCAACATAGTCATACCTCGGTATACGACCGCTTTGGAATACGTCGAATTTGGTATACGTTGTGTTTTGACGAGAGAAAAAATGTCTTGGGATACGACGTCTTGCTTGGGATACGACGCGCTTGCTAGAACTTGTATGGGTCGGGATGAGTCACCGCGTACCCGCGCATATCCCATTCACGACTGAAACAAAGCGCCGCTCCTCAGTCTGCCTGTAGATCTCGTTCAGTGCACAACCCTTGCTATAACTATGAATTTTCACGAGTTTTGTGTAATTTTATCGTGAATTTTTTGCGAATTCATTCAACTCCTCTGAGCAAGGTAAACTGATGTAAAATTTGATTTTGATTTCAATTTATTTTTATTTACTTATGCATTTATTTTAATTTATGTATGCATTTTAGTAATAAGTAGTGTCTAAATTATTTTATACAACCCCATTAATGTATAATATGCCATATAAAATAACATTTCTATACTCTGGAACGGATTATTTCCTTTCCCTTTATTTCTTAAGGGAAAACATATTTTGGTATATGTCATTTTCAGTATAAGTCCTACCTTCTGGAACGAATTATCGACGTATACTGAGGTACTACTGTACAAATATTTTAGCCCAGTAGCTCTTAACCTTTACTGCAGCCTTGCAGTAAAGGTTAAGAGCTACTGCTCATGCCAAGAACGCTATGCCACTGCTTCATTATAAATTTGTTTTTAAAACTCACACAGATACGATCAAACAGCATTGTTCCCACCAGATGCAGGCTTGTGAAACTCGTACCTCTTTATCACTGTCACCGTCCCCTCGCACCCTCAGAGTCCCCTCCAGGTAATTCTCCCGACTCGCAAGGAAGGTTCCCTGGACAAACCGGCCAGAGCGCACACCTTGCTGCAGCTGGGACAGCGGGAGATGTTCGGGGAAGATTACCCGGGACTCCACCACATCCTGCGCGCGTACACAGCACACGCACGGCACATGCACGCGTCAACAGCAATTTTGCAACCGCCATCACGTAACGAGACGAAGGATCCAATCTGATTTATCTCAGAGCAGTACGGCCATCCATGTTAGAGAACGTTCCACAAAAGCGGATATCATAGAGCTACATCTAAAGTTCCACGCTTCCGTCTCTGCTTTTTGCTAAATATGCCACGTAATAAATCTAGGATTTATTTTATTGATTGACCATGGCTGGTGAGGATGAGACGTTCTAAAAGGGAGCTGTTTAATACGTATTCTTTCGCGACCAATATTATCCATAATAAAGGTTTTTTGGGTAAGATCGCGTAAATGTGTGTCGTTAACCCGGTACAGCCAATTAGAAAGGTTTGTTACGTAAAACAAAACGTGTCAATTAGTTACTACTGCAGCATGCCAGTGTATTGGAGAGTAAACCCACAACACTTACAATTCGAGTATGCCGTTTCGCTGGCGATTACAACCAGCGAAACGTCGTACTCGGCGCAAGGCAAGTGTTCCTTTCTTCAGTGAGGCAGCTGGATGCAGCGCGGACGTGAGGGGTCGGACAAGGGTACAGGCCCGCACCATTAAAATAAGGGGGGGCAGTGCTGATGCACGCATACGGAGTCTCACCTGCTCCGAGGCCAGTGCCAGACGGTCAATCAACTCAGGGTTGTCCAACAAGCTGCGCACATATTCCTCCACTGGGGGTACACAGACACGCGCAGATAAACGCAGAAATTATAATCAGCGACACGGTTTACTGGACGATTTAGAGTGCCACCAAAAATGTAAATTTATTATTTTTCAAGTCACGCCTGCTGGATTTATTCATTTTCCTGTTTAACTGAAGCACTGTTTAACAAGAGGCACTACATTTACCACTGTTAAAGAGAGGGATCCTTAAATGGGATCACGGCCCCGAGCCATGGTATTCATTTAATCGCGAAGGTGGGGGGCAAATCGTTCTTTCCGAGGCACCCATCCACTCGGATATTATCATTGTATTGTTTTCATGCCATTGGAGTATTATAAAGGAGCCTTTGGTAAAGTCAACCGCAGCAGATTGTTATAGGCTATGGTGGGCAGCATAGGGTGGTGAAGCAATATCCATTGTTTTGTTCCGTGCTATCGTTGTCACCAACCCGCACTGACCAGAGTGGTGAAATACAGCAAGTCCTCACTTAACACGGGGGTTGCGTTCCTGACAATTGCCAAGTGAAACTAATTCGCGTTCAGCGGGAGTAATTTTCCCATAACTAATAACGGTAAAAGTGGGGGTGCCGTTCCAGCCCGTAATTTAATTGTTTTTGATAGTATAGTACACTGTTTTACATGTTTATTTTTAAATGTGTTGTGTTTATATAGTATCTCTATCAACATGCTAAGTATGGCACTCCCTTATTTAAATCTCAAGTGAGAGATATGGTGAGCGAAAAAGATAAGGGAGCGAGATGACGCTCCGCGCAAAGATCCTGCTGGAACAAATACTAAGAGGAAGGCACGCCGGGTATCACAGCATACATCAGTACGACAGCTTCAAGCATCATCCAACAACACTGCTAACACCGACGCCGCTCAGAAAAGTAGTCCGTGACCACACGCTACACGTGCAATGTAGCGAGCGCGGTTGAGCGTTAAAATCTAAAAACTTTCCATAAAAAGGTAAAACCGTGTTAAGGCCAAAACGCGAAGTGTGAACGCGCATTCAACGGGGATCTACCGTACGGTCAAACAACCTCGCACAACCTCGCACAGAACGAGGCCCACACCCAGCAGCGGATTGACAAAGAGGGCTGTTATATGTGCAAAGCAGTGATAAGAGTTAACATTGGTGGCCAGTAAGATATGAATGGTGATACTGTAGTTTGGCCCTCTTCTAGGTTGACTTGGCCCAAAATGAGCCCTCATCTCGAGAAAACCACTGCATGTTCCCGTCGTATAACGCGGCGGCGCCGGAACTGCTCGCATACCGGTGTATGCTTGCAACCCCTCAGCACGCGCCTTCTCCCGGTTCTCGCGGTCATTCGTCACGAGCAGCACTGTGGGCAGATCGCCATTTTCATCGTGCCCGGACTCCTCCGATGCCTTGGCCAGGTGCTGGTTGTACCAGCGGGCGGCCACGCGGATGGCTCGGTCGTTACGGTCATTGGAAGACTCCCCCTTCTCCTGCTCCACGTACGTGTCTCTGAGACACACGACAATCAAGTTACAGCGCTGTTAGACAATCACACTGGGCGTTGCTGTGTAATCACTTGCACGCAAGTCACAGTAACAAAGTTGTGGAGTTGAAATGGCACTTCAGAGGTCGACTAGGAAAATCGTACCTCTTCTGGGGCAGTAAAATGAGCACAGCTGTGCGAGAAGTGTAAAGCATGTAGATCCGTGAGTTGTTAAGCATTATGTCCGAGGTTTCCTTCCGAGTGCTGGAAACACCTTCAGGAATCCAGTTTTAATGACAAAAAATGTATTTAATAATTATAAATTACATTTATAAAACGCCTTTCCGCTAAGTAACTCAAGCCACGGGGGTGTTCAGTCCCACCAGCCAAATCAGATGCACAGTTTATTATCTCAACTGTACGTAGCACAGTTGGCTATGTACTGTGTGAAGGAAGTTCAACAAACATACAATTCAAACCCCACCCACGGAGTGCCACAATTCAATGAAAGGAGTGCAATTAATTTCAGCCCTGGCCAAAAAATCAGCTACCAATCCTTGGCCATCTGGACAGGGGCAGCCTTATGCACAACGCCACTATGCCACCAACTCCGCTGGCCCTGGTGCCATCGGGAAACCGTCCCACCAAGACTTTGCGCCACCAAGTGCCACAGTTCAGAAGTAAGGAGGCGTCAATTTGTGTGCCGTGCACACTGGATTGGCGAGATGCCTAGGACCGGTGGGAGAGCTGCGCCTACCGATGGTGCTCATTGGTGAAGGCGTAGAAGTGTTTCTGCGGAGTTGAGATGATGTCGCGGAGTCTCTTGTAGACGGGAGCGGAGCGATGGCGGATCTCCTGCAACACGGTCTGCAGAATCACCACGTTAAGCAGGCACGGGTCCTCCAGCAGGTCAATCTGAGAAGCAGGCACACACGCAAACGTACACACGAGGGGCGCATTCATTAGCCGGGCGGCGGTGGTGCACGCCTGTAATCCAGCACCCTTGAGGCGAGGGTTCGTGGATCACACAAATGTTGCGAAACTTCCTTCTCGTGAGCATGCAGGAAGTGCCATACCCTAGTTATGCCAGATGGCAGTAGAGCAAAATGTGGACTAATATTATCTGTCCCTTCTGTATGGGATAAAGTGTTGCCCCCCCCCCACATGAATAAACACGCATAAATTGGCCGATATATATTGATATATAGAGCTTGGGCAATTGTTGGTGCTGGCTTACCGCTTGGCTGCAGTGATATTGTTCATGCAATTTGCATGAACGTCGCTCCACCTAAAACTAAACATTATTATATCATATGGTCGTAATGTGGGTGTGTGTCTCAAGAGGTCTGAGCACTGAGCTGGTACAGCTTTGCCTGTCAGTCGACACAACTCGTCACATTCGGCTTGCAGCTGAAGATAACACTCAGCACTGCCATCCCCTGGTCTCCTGACAGTCACACGTCTGTAGCTCGGGGCAAGCCCAGGCGTAACTCTGCTTAGCATCGGAGATCAGATGAGAACTAAGGTGATAAAGTTGTAGCAGGGGTATATCACATTGTGGTGGTTCCGCACACTGAACATAATAATAGGTAACAGTGGAAATGAGTGAGTAACACTGGTCAGGCATAGTGGCTGCTTTTATAGATGTAGCCTTGGTAAATAAATAAAAATAGTTTAGTATATTTTTTATCATTGGTGTGGTCCCCTTATGCACCACAGGTCACACCTGGTTGGGCTCTCACCGAGTTCAGGAGCAATGATTTTCCTACCTTACCTGTTGAGGTGAGGTAGGTGAAGTGAGAAGTAAAATTGCCCGACCTCACCTGGTAGAGGAGGAAAAATCTGTCTCTCACCTGGTTCAGGAACCCCTCATCCAAATGATGAATTAAGTAGTGCTGGACATCTGTGAAAAAGAGCTTTATAGCTCATCGGATTGATCCAGGATAAATATTCAGATAATGATGCTGCCAGAATGTGACGGTTATCATACTGGGCTTGCAACCCTAATGCCGCCGGTTCGTCCTCCAAGCGCGGCAGGTGATTAAAACGTTTCTTAAATCCCCCCCTTACAGGCCCTGCCATTGTCCACTCAGCAGTGTCAATGGGTAGTCCATCGGCAGTTCGTGTGGTGGGGTAAAATGTGGGTTACTCCCACATTATCCAAACGTCCGGCTCAACAACATATCCTCCAGAAGGGAGCTTCCCTCTAGTTGGAGTCCCTTCCACTTGCAGTGGCGTGAGCCAAGACATTTTCAGGACTGTCTGCACCTTAACCTTCAACCTTTTACATCTGATGAGTAAACCCCTGGTGAGTGTGCAAGTTTACTCAGCCGAGTGAGTCGCTCATCGGGTGAGTGCGTGAGATGGTGGTTTGAGTGAAATGGTGGTTTGACTGAGATGGTGGTTTGAGTGAGTTGGTGGTTTGAGTGAGATGGTGGTTTGAGTGAGATGGTGGTTTGAGTGATTTGGTGGTTTGAGTGAGTTGGTGGTTTGAGTGAGTTGGTGGTTTGATTGAGATGGTGGTTTGAGTGATTTGGTGGTTTGAGTGAGTTGGTGGTTTGAGTAAGATGGTGGTTTGAGTGAGTTGGTGGTTTGAGTGAGATGGTGGTTTGAGTTATTTGGTGGTTTGAGTGAGATGGTGGTTTGAGTGAGTTGGTGGTTTGAGTGAGATGGTGGTTTGAGTGAGTTGGTGGTTTGAGTGAGATGGTGGTTTGAGTGAGTTGGTGGTTTGAGTGAGATGGTGGTTTGAGTGAGATGGTGGTTTGAGTGAGTTGGTGGTTTGAGTGAGATGGTGGTTTGAGTGAGATGGTGGTTTGAGTGAGATGGTGGTTTGAGTGAGATGGTGGTTTGAGTGAGATGGTGGTTTGAGTGAGATGGTGGTTTGAGTGAGATGGTGGTTTGAGTGAGTTGGTGGTTTGAGTGAGATGGTGGTTTGAGTGAGTTGGTGGTTTGAGTGAGATGGTGGTTTGAGTGAGATGGTGGTTTGAGTGAGTTGGTGGTTTGAGTGAGATGGTGGTTTGAGTGAGTTGGTGGTTTGAGTGAGATGGTGGTTTGAGTGAGTTGGTGGTTTGAGTGAGATGGTGGTTTGAGTGAGATGGTGGTTTGAGTGAGTTGGTGGTTTGAGTGAGATGGTGGTTTGAGTGATTTGGTGGTTTGAGTGAGTTGGTGGTTTGAGTGAGTTGGTGGTTTGAGTGAGTTGGTGGTTTGAGTGAGTTGGTGGTTTGAGTGAGTTGGTGGTTTGAGTGAGTTGGTGGTTTGAGTGAGTTGGTGGTTTGAGTGAGATGATGGTTTGAGTGAGTTGGTGGTTTGAGCGATTTGGTGGTTTGAGTGAGTTGGTGGTTTGAGTGAGTTGGTGGTTTGTGTGAGTTGGTGGTTTGAGTGAGTTGGTGGTTTGAGTGAGATGGTGGTTTGAGTGAGATGGTGGTTTGAGTGAGATGGTGGTTTGAGTGAGTTGGTGGTTTGAGTGAGATGGTGGTTTGAGTGAGTTGGTGGTTTGAGTGAGATGGTGGTTTGAGTGAGTTGGTGGTTTGAGTGAGATGGTGGTTTGAGTGAGATGGTGGTTTGAGTGAGATGGTGGTTTGAGTGATTTGGTGGTTTGAGTGAGTTGGTGGTTTGAGTGAGTTGGTGGTTTGAGTGAGTTGGTGGTTTGAGTGAGTTGGTGGTTTGAGTGAGTTGGTGGTTTGAGTGAGTTGGTGGTTTGAGTGAGTTGGTGGTTTGAGTGAGTTGGTGGTTTGAGTGAGATGATGGTTTGAGTGAGTTGGTGGTTTGAGCGATTTGGTGGTTTGAGTGAGTTGGTGGTTTGAGTGAGTTGGTGGTTTGAGTGAGTTGGTGGTTTGAGTGAGATGATGGTTTGAGTGAGTTGGTGGTTTGAGCGATTTGGTGGTTTGAGTGAGTTGGTGGTTTGAGTGAGTTGGTGGTTTGTGTGAGTTGGTGGTTTGAGTGAGTTGGTGGTTTGAGCGATTTGGTGGTTTGAGTGAGTTGGTGGTTTGAGTGAGTTGGTGGTTTGAGTGAGTTGGTGGTTTGTGTGAGATGGTGGTTTGAGTGAGTTGGTGGTTTGAGCGATTTGGTGGTTTGAGTGAGTTGGTGGTTTGAGTTGGTAGTTTGAGTGAGATGGTGGTTTGAGTGAGATGGTGGTTTGTGTGAGATGGTGGTTTGAGTGAGTTGGTGGTTTGAGTTGGTAGTTTGAGTGAGATGGTGGTTTGAGTGAGATGGTGGTTTGTGTGAGATGGTGGTTTGAGTGAGTTGGTGGTTTGAGCGATTTGGTGGTTTGAGTTGGTAGTTTGAGTGAGATGGTGGTTTGAGTGAGATGGTGGTTTGAGTGAGATGGTGGTTTGTGTGAGTTGGTGGTTTGAGTGAGTTGGTGGTTTGAGCGATTTGGTGGTTTGAGTGAGTTGGTGGTTTGAGTGAGTTGGTGGTTTGAGTTGGTGGTTTGAGTGAGATGGTGGTTTGAGTGAGATGGTGGTTTGAGTGAGATGGTGGTTTGTGTGAGTTGGTGGTTTGAGTGAGATGGTGGTTTGAGTGAGATGGTGGTTTGAGTGAGTTGGTGGTTTGAGTGAGATGGTGGTTTGAGTGATTTGGTGGTTTGAGTGAGTTGGTGGTTTGAGTGAGTTGGTGGTTTGAGTGAGTTGGTGGTTTGAGTGAGTTGGTGGTTTGAGTGAGTTGGTGGTTTGAGTAAGTTGGTGGTTTGAGTGAGTTGGTGGTTTGAGTGAGTTGGTGGTTTGAGTGAGTTGGTGGTTTGAGCGATTTGGTGGTTTGAGTGAGTTGGTGGTTTGAGTGAGTTGGTGGTTTGAGTGAGTTGGTGGTTTGAGTGAGATGATGGTTTGAGTGAGTTGGTGGTTTGAGCGATTTGGTGGTTTGAGTGAGTTGGTGGTTTGAGTGAGTTGGTGGTTTGTGTGAGTTGGTGGTTTGAGTGAGTTGGTGGTTTGAGCGATTTGGTGGTTTGAGTGAGTTGGTGGTTTGAGTGAGTTGGTGGTTTGAGTGAGTTGGTGGTTTGTGTGAGTTGGTGGTTTGAGTGAGTTGGTGGTTTGAGTGAGTTGGTGGTTTGAGTGAGTTGGTGGTTTGTGTGAGATGGTGGTTTGAGTGAGTTGGTGGTTTGAGCGATTTGGTGGTTTGAGTGAGTTGGTGGTTTGAGTTGGTAGTTTGAGTGAGATGGTGGTTTGAGTGAGATGGTGGTTTGAGTGAGTTGGTGGTTTGAGCGATTTGGTGGTTTGAGTTGGTGGTTTGAGTGAGTTGGTGGTTTGAGTTGGTAGTTTGAGTGAGATGGTGGTTTGAGTGAGATGGTGGTTTGAGTGAGATGGTGTTTTGTGTGAGTTGGTGGTTTGAGTGAGTTGGTGGTTTGAGCGATTTGGTGGTTTGAGTGAGTTGGTGGTTTGAGTTGGTGGTTTGAGTGAGTTGGTGGTTTGAGTTGGTAGTTTGAGTGAGATGGTGGTTTGAGTGAGATGGTGGTTTGTGTGAGTTGGTGGTTTGAGTGAGTTGGTGGTTTGAGTGAGTTGGTGATTGACTGAGCTGAGCGAAGGGGTGAGTTTGTGAGCGAGCCAGTTGGGGAGCAAGTTTGTGAATGGATTGAGTTAATTGATTGGCGAGTCGCTCATTCGGGTGAGTGGGTGAGTTTGGTGGTTGAGCGAATACGTTGGTGAGCGAGCGAGTTGGTGGCGAGTTTGTAAACGAGTCAGTAAGTGCAGCGAGTTGGAATTAAGTGAATTAGTTGGGTGCGCGAGTGAATCAACTTTTCCCTATGCGTTGAGTGGGTGAGTGAACGGGTGAATTAACAGGTGAGTGAACGAGTAAGTGAACGGGTGAGTGAACGGGCGAGCGTTTAGCGCCCGCTGCCACCTCGCCCTCACCTGGTGCAGCACCACGTTGCTGTCCGGGATCACGACGTGAGCCCCACCGTCACAGAGGCCGCTGCGCGCCCCGGGCCGGGCCTGCAACAGCCCGGCGGGGCCTGCTCCCTCCGCCGGCTCCTGGGCCCGCGGCGCGGCCTTGGCGGCTAAGGCCGCGCACTCGACGCAAAGGGTCCAGCCACAGCCGATGTCGTCCCTCAGGTAGTGCTCCCTCACCACCTTCATGACCCCGCCGGAGCGGTTCTTCTTCACGAAAGTCCTGGACTTGAGCATCGAGGTTTTTGCGGGGCCACACAAAACGACCTCGTGTGTGTGGTGGTGGTGGTGGGTGGAGGAATCGATTCAGTGAAGGAATCGCAGCGTCATCGATTCTGCTTCAGAGCCCTACGGGAATCGAAGCGCAGATATAATAACAGTAGATTCGGGGAATCGATTTGATAACCTAAAAATATTTATTTATTTAATGAGTTATTTAAAAAATGTAGACATTTGTTTGTCTGCTTTATTAATCCATAATAACATACATGTCAAGCCCCTATCAGTGCCCTACCTTATTATAGACCAACTCAGACATTATTGGTCACCCGGTGCCCTTATAAATCTCAACGTTCATCCTACAAAGTTCCATCACAAGGCAGAAACAAAAACAGACAAAAATAAATCTAGAATAGACAAAAATAAATCTAGAATAGACAAAAATAAATCTAGAATACACAAAAATAAATCTAGAATACACAAAAATAATATTTATTTTTGCATGTATTTAAACGGCTGTACGCCCTGTACAATAATACGGGTAACCCCTATGGGTTCACTTACTCACCCATATAACAACAACGTATTAACCAGCAAATATACAATCACACAAATGATTCTCTCCTGAAGCCCTCCCGTCGTGCCCACAGCTTAGGGGCCGTCCATAAATGACGTCACGCACCTGGGGGGGGGGGGGGGTCAGACATTTGTGACTATGTGTGACGGGGAGGGGGGGGTGAGAAATGTGACGTCACATCAAAATGCGCAACTTTAAATAAATATAGACAACACGTTCTACTTAATTAAATAGACTTTTTAATACATGTTTTCTCCTACAACATCAGAGTGCAGCGGTATATTAAATACGCACTACAATGACAATAGTCTAAAGCGATTTCAAGCATTTTTTATTTGTGGGGGGGGCAGAGCTTTGTGACGTCATTTTTTAGGGGGGGGTCTGACTTTTCGTGACGCCGTGTGACGATGGGGGGGGGGGGTTAAATATCGTCTAAAATGGCGTGACGTCATTTATGGACGGCCCCTACCCTACCTCACTGCTTGGCATTTTATCGTCTGTACATATTGCTGCCAACATACGCAAAAATAACAAATCGGAACCTAACCTCCACAGAAAGAAATATAAGTTTATAGATTTTGCCTGACACGACCCATCGGGTCCCACGGCGTTACGTAATTGAACATTATCAACAGCTTTTTATTTTTTATTTTTACACGCTTTTATTTAACTCACTGTCGTATCCTCAAATCTTGTAACTGTGATGCCGCCGCCGCGAAGCCGTTCGGCAGGCGCCAAATCCCCGACCTCGCCACCACCAAGCAACGGAGCCGACCCCTTGTCTCCCTCACCTCACCTCACATGAACACACCCGCACTCATTTCCTCCCCCCATAGAGCTCCGAGTGGAGGTCGCCTGGCCGACCGGTTTTTATCCGAGAAACCCTTATCGGGATTAACTCTCACGGTTTCCTACGTTGCGCCGCGGCGCTGCGACCGGCCTTAATATGGTGTGGTCGCGGCGTGGGGCATTCGGCCACCGCGGTTGAGGCGCATTTCCCCCCACACACGCCAGTATCGACGGGGCAGGCAGAGGGAATAAGCATTGTGATGGAGGAGCATCATTAGAAAACACGCAGCGCATCTGAACTGCATAATCAGGCACCCCCGCACAGGCAGCGGAGGGACGGCATAATTACGCTCGGGTACGCAGGCACCATTGTTAGGGGAGTTAAAGGATAAGGCTATTAGTATAAATAATCGGGAGAGGGGAGGCGCGCGGGGAGCCATGCACAGCTTCCCACGACGGGCCTTTGTGATGGACACCGCCGCATGAACCTCGATGATGGGGGCCTGCGTGAGAAAAGGATTGATTGGAATTTGCGCCGTGCAGGTCGCTCATTGATTAGTGGAACAAAGGCACCGCGGAGCTGCCTGGCCCGGGCGAGGGGGGCGCGTACCATTGTTTGGAGTTCACGCCGCGCGGACAAAGGATTAATTAGCATAGCGAAGGCGCACGGTGCGTGGGAAGGGGGTAGGGGTCCGGGAATCAGGATAAATGGGGAGCGCAAAGGGGAAATCGCTCTCTTCTCTCCAGGCCAGCGGACCAGCAGCAGCTCCAGCCAGCGACCCGAACGTCCGTGCGACGCATCGAGGTACGCTGTTAGCGCAGAGAGCAGCGAACCTCCGCGGGCACCAAACAGTGAGTGGGGAGGTGAAGTAGAATCATAGCAGATAAATCGGGAATAGGTATAGAGGTATCAGCGTAGGCCAGCCTCGTCGACTCACTGATTCAACATTAGTTACCAGGTAATAAATTATTAATAGCGAAGCGTGGTCTCGCGTGATCTTGTCGTGCAGTGTGAGCGTGTGGGAACGCGTGTGGTACTGTGTATGCGTAAGCTCGCGGCGTGCGTAATCGGCGTACCCCAGGTGCGCGATCATAACGTGAGCGGCCAGCAGGCGGCGAGCGCTGCGCAGAGCGGCGCAAGAGTGGGTATCGCGTGTGGAGCTGTATGCGTGTGTGCGCGCACGTTCACTACGTGTATAATACAGGTGCGCGATCCTAACGTGAGTGGTCTGTATTGAGTGAGTGCCGCGCAGAGCTATGTGTGGGTGTGCGCGTACGTAATTAACCATGCCTATTACGCGGACCCGCGGGGGAGGGGAATCCTCGAGCGACGGCTCTCACCCCATGGGTGAAGAACCCAACAGCGGTTCGCCTAGTAGCGAGGGGGCGAGTAATGAGGTTAACCCGGCCGTTAGCGGTACAGAGGGAGGGATCTCGGGGGCCAGCGACCCCCACATAACTCAAAATTTACACACTTCCCAATGTGGTATCGACTGCAAACTTGGTATACTTATGTCATACTGTTGCCAATATTATATTCTATCATAAAAAATTAAAAAGCGTGTTTAAAAAAAAGTTTTTTTAAATAGATATTTTTTTAAATTCAGAACTGTGCAGGGTGGTCCAGATGTCTTGTGACCCACACTTAATTTTCCCTTAAAATGCTAGCGCTTACATAGTCTTTTTGTAGTATTCTTGTAGCTCAGGCGGGGGGGGCGGGTAGCGGCCCAGCCCTCAGCCTGCCAATGTCTCACCTTCTCCGGCTGGACAATCTACGTTAGGATGCAGGCTCTGCATGGGACTCGGCCTCACCACGGCAATGTAAACTACAATTTTATTTTATTTTTCGCTAAGAACTCAGGTTTATTTTTTACTATTATTAAACAAATCAGTTTAAACATATTACAAAGATAATGTTTGCGTGCAGTTAAGAACTCAGCTTCATTGTTTACTGTTATGAAACAAATGGGTTGGCAAAATTTACAATAATTATGTTTGTGTGCAGATAAGAACTCAGCTTCATTGTTTACTATTATGAAACTAATAAGTTGCCAAATATTATTATAATAATGTTTGCGTGCAGAAATATTACATGTCAATATTACGTTGCTAAATATTCCCTTTTTTAGCTGTCTTTTTTTTGACGCTGCGATGGTCTACTGCCAATCTGTGCTGTGGCCTGCTGCCTGCTCATTAATTAATGTCAGTGCACTGCCACTTTATTCTCTACACTGCTCATTTTGCATTTGCCTATTATGGGTGTATGCCAGTCTATAATCTGGTGCCTGCTTCTTTACCTCACTCCGTGTACTGCCAGCCTTTCATGTCGACTGTATCCTGCTTTTTAAGCTGCTGCCCGTATTGCCAGCTTTTAATGTCGACTGTAGCAATGCTAATGTCATTGAGTCGGCGTACTGGCAGTCTATAATCTAGACTGTAGCCTGCTTGTTATCTTACCTGTGCATACTGCTGCTCTTTAATTTACACTTATTTCAGCTTCTTTCTTCTTTGCATTTCCATTGCTTAGATTGTTCACGTCACGCTATTTACTGATACGTAGTACTGCCATGCTGATAGCTGTGCCATCATCGTGGATTGCTGTGCACGTCCATTTGTGTGTGTGAGCCGATGTGTGTGTGTAAGTCCACGTGTGTGTCTGCATTTTTCGCCCAGGCAAGGCCGGGTACTTACCGCTAGTCTTACCTATAAAAGGCTTTCTTTGTCTGTCTGTCCCTCTGTCTGTCCGTCTGTGTACGTGCGCTTGTGAGGGATTTGGCTCTTGGATGGTGGGATTCACGTCGAAAAAAATTGCCGGGCAGCACGCCCTAAGCCCCACGGTGGAAAAAGGCAATTCCGTTTTCCCATCCGTCAACAGTAAAGTAGTTAAAAATCGCGTTTTTGTGCGATTTCTCTTTATTTATTTACTTTTGCCGCCCGGCGCGCGACAAAGCACGCTATTGCGCATGCGCAAAACGCCGACAGGAGTTGCCCCTGGCAATGCACACACACTGTCGCTGGAGGGTGGGGGGGATTTCTCATTCACGTTCAAAATGCAAACAAAAATAACACGCAACGCTGAGGTAAATTCATCAAAGTGTCACGTCCTCTTCTATCCCCCCCACCCCAATGTGTGCACTTACTATTATAGGGTCGGTAGATACTAAAATTATAGCGCTTCAACTGGATTATCGTACCGCGGGGGTGGGGGGGTGGGGGTAGGGGGGGAAGTGGTCCAGCCCCCAGCCTCGGCCAGATGGGAAATCTAGGCGAGGCCGAGGCTCTGCATGCGACTGGGCCTCACCACGGCAATCAGTCAGGTGAGTACTTTGTGCTATAGAGTCGATATATACTGCTACTCGCGGGAAATACCCAGCGTTGCCCGGAGGAAAAATATATTTTAATACCTCTGAAAACTTAAAAACATAACATACAAATAAAAAGAATACTCATTAATTAAAAATAAATAAAACCCAAGCGTGCCAAGATTCGATTCTTTAAACCACGCAAAGGAATCGAAGGTTGTAGATTCCTTTAGAATCGGCCTATTCCCGTTTTATATAAGTTGGTTGCATGTCGGCAAGTATGCTAAACATTTCGAACAGACACACATATTTACAAATTTTCCTTTTTTATATAAGATAGATAGAGTCAGCATGTACTACTGTAGTGATAGCAGGTACCACCACAGTTGGTAT